AAGAAATCTGCCATCTTGGAATTTAAATTATCATTGCAGTTACAAAAATATTACATTCAACAATTTTATGAAATGCCGGCCATTTTAAACAGGGTTGCTTCATAGAGGTAACTCTAAGACCACTGGGTCCCGAAGAAAATCATTATTATTTTTGGCTCACTCAGTACCAGAACAACGGTCCCAAGTCCAAAGTGACTGGCCCTCTGGATGTGGGTGATGTCAAAAACAACAAAACATGATTAATTTGGGTGTGATTCGAACGGGTTTAGAGTCAAAATCAAACGTAAAGCATTCCCCCTTAAGGCCCAAACGCAATGTATGCGGAAGTGGAACGGAAACGGAAAGTTTGACAGTTGTCACAAATGACAAATGAGATCAAGATTTCCCATCTACGTTTCTACAGTAATATAGATCGATATTTTTCTGCTATTTTCTAACAAATCTTTGACTTGTTTAAGGTTGTCTTTAACCCTATACATAAAAAAAGTCTAATTGTTTGGAAGATTGCCGGGAAATAGCTAAGGTTGGTGGGAACTTTCCTCTATTCAGGAAGCTCCAGTTAAAAAAATGCTTTTCAGTATTTTTAGCTATAAGTTAACATTTCATATTTACTGAACTCTGTTAATTAAAATTTGTGAGCTGACAAGCTGATAGCTCATAGTATTTGTATATTTTAGCCGAAAGCTTTTCAAAAAAGTACTGATGTGTCGTCACGCTAAAGCAATCGTTTCGGTAACATTTGCGCTGTCCCTTAACTATCGAGTACTCAACATCTGATATAATTACTGAAACGACCGCCGAGTGCTCAGCTGTTCTCATATTGTCAAAAAAATGTACAGATTTCGGTGAAAAATGGTTAGTTTATAGTAGAGATGGTCTAGTATGAGAGAGGAGCGGACTCAATGACGTTTATATAAGGTCCGGGCCAACAGGCAGCTTGCTGGTGTTAGAAACAAAAATGCTGAGCACTCATGTGACGACGTCACTCTACCAAAACATTCCATACTCCGAACAGTGAGATTTACGTCACTGCCAACAGCTGTTTCGTGTAAAAAGATAAACATTGCAGTGAAATACGAACACCACTAAACATTTGTTCATTTCACTAACACCAATAAGCCTGTTGGCCCGGACCTTATATAAATGACATTGGAGCGGACTGGCTAATGAGCCAAATGAACTGTGGAAGCCAGAGCCGATCGAGCAGCGCCTATCAGGCGTAACATTTGATAACGGCACAAAAGCTTTTGTAAACAAACTTTCTAAGGGCCTTTACATGCGAACCAAAGTACACCCACGCAAACCAATAACATCATCGGAGGGGCAACTAACACCTTTCCGAAAGTGGTATTGGTTTGCGTGGGCGTACTTTGGTTCGCAGGTATACACGAAACGAAAATCAATTACTTTATTCATGTGATTCACTTATACATTTTTGCCAAAACATCAACCTTATATACATTCCATAAGACAAACCACATAGGTCCTATAAGAATGCATAAAAGGTATGTGTGACCGCTTATACATTTCATTTGACACATGATCTTCATTTATTTTTTGCAAGGCGTCTGCTTATTAGGTTACTTATACATTTTATGAATAATCAGCAATAGAAATTTGCCAAAAGGTATAAGGAGACCCTAATAAAAATAACCAAAAAAGAGAGCTTAACGACGTATTCGGGGTATCATCCAAACCATTTGTGGGATAGTTTACCCATCTGATATACAGTTTATGGTATTTGTATATTAGGGGATTTCTATCCCTGTAGGGCCTTAGAAAGTTTGTTTACAAATGCTTTTGTGCCGTTATCAAATGTTATAATTAACTGCTATCTTGATTGCATTGTCAGTATTGTTAAGCGCCCATTACACATGTCAATATATTGACAAACATCGTATTGTCAATTTTCCTTACAATATTATCAATACATAAATATTGACAACATTAATGACAACACGCTAAACCGCTCGTTACACGGATCAATATATTGACAGTAAATTGACATACTGACAATATTATTGAAAAGGTAATATTGATGACGATGGATTAATGACGAGTATTGTAGAAAAACTGATTTTCATTTAACTTGGTCAATTTTTTTCCCCTACTCAAGAGGAAGGAGAACGTACGTCATTTAGATCGACTGACTCACAAAGCACTTTCGCGCATGCAACGAGACATGCAGTGTTGCCATTTGTTTAAATCTTCGTGTGTGATATAAAATAAATTTCAAACTAAATAAAAAATGTATCATTTTACAGTCAGCAATCACCCAGGCTTCGTTTATATGGATGTACATTTTCTACAAAATCACAAGCATAATCATGTTATTTTATTACTTTAAAATAAAATAAATACCGTTTTACATACCTAGCCGTAACGTAAACTAATTATCATATGCATGATTTTCATTTATGAATAATTACCATCAGCATGATAGTTTCTATTTGGAAAACTGCGTACCGGGAACGTGGGTTATTCCACAGGTGTAGTAATTCCGCGCACTCAACAATTGATTTGATTAAATTCGATCAATTTGGAAGTACATGTCATGTTATCTGTTGTCCTGTGTATTTTCTGTGTTCTGTCCAAAAGCTACAACATTTGGTATACCAATTTAGTGTTTGAATGACAAGTCCGCGGAATTATAGCTCACGCAGAATAACTCACGTTCACGGTACATCCTATGTTAATTAATTAACTATTTATATGTGTGCCCATTAATACAGTTTATATGACATATTACCTACATTAACTTTCTTGCATGTCTTCTGGTCATTAGTTGACTTTAATAATCATCAATAGTAATTTTCCAGAAAGTATAAGAAGATTTTCATCATGATAAAACTAGTATATCATTATGATAAAACTAAGCATTATATGTATGGGTAACATTAGGTAAACATAATTTTTCTAACGAAACTGGAGAGTTTGAACTACGGAACTGTTCGGCAAACATTTACAAACCAGTGAAAAATTAAAAAAAAATTAAATTTATTCCGAAAATGTACGGACTTAGTTAACCCCTTTTAATGATACAAAACAAATTTGTCGATTTTATTGATTTCCTTCGAGTAATGGTCATTTGAAATTTTTCCAATTTTTTCAGTTGTTCTAAAACCCGGCAAAATTTACCGACCTCGGTAGTATTTTCAATACATACAGGTCTGTTTTGACCCGAATGCAAACATGAACTCTAAACACACTTTCCTTCGCTGATCCATGTTTCTTGTGTGGGGAAATTGAGACAAGTAATATTGACTTTAGACATTGAGGTAAAAAGGCTTCTAAAGCAAACCTCACACGCATCAATATATTGACGCGAAGGGGAACTATTGACAAGAATATTGATGATGTGAATTCAGAAATATTGTCAATCTCGATGTATTGACGTCAATATAGAATGTATTGACAATACAATTATTGTCAATAAAAGCAATCGTGTAGGGTCCACTTAACGTATTGCCATTACTGTTTTCAATATTTGTACATCGATGATATTGATGGTTTTTTTGTCAATACATTCTGAGTATTGACAAATTGAAATTAAAATCAGCTTTTCGTCAATACTTGTCATCAATCATCGTCTTCAATATCACCTTTTCAATAATATTGTCAGTATGTCAATTTATTGTCAATATATTGATATGTGTAATGGGCGCTTTAAGAAATCACCTACACGGTAACCAGCGTAAACACATTAATGTGTAAAATTTCACACATTTCGTGAAAAAAGGGGCCTACTCATAAAATGTGTAAACTGCGTTTACACATTTATGTGTAAACCCAGCAAACGTCAAAAGAAGTGTAATTTTTACACATTTTTCAAGAACGGTTTTTACAGCAAAATGTGTAAAAAGTAATCATTTCTAGAACTTAAATATAATGGGTGCTCATGGTTTTTTATTAACTTCGGAATTTTCTTATTTGTGTCAATGGTAAAATAAAGATTGCTCGATTATTGTATATATTTTATTAAAAACAGAAATGTAATCAACACAAATAAGTAGCGGCACCGGAGGTGTTGGTAAGCGTGATTTACTCGTGATTTCCTCTCAATCCCAGTCGACGCTGCCGGGATGTTCTGAGGCATAACATCTCTGATCGCGCCGAGGATCACGCCTTCCTTCGGAAGGGAAGTGAAGCCATTGGTCTCCGATTCATGAGTTGATGGGTCGATAGGTAGGGTCCAGGTATGGGAGATTCCTCTCTGGCGTCGGTAGCATTGATGCTCAGCACGAGAAACAAATCAAGGGAAGAAAAACAAAAATCAGTATATGAAGTATATATGTAAACTAAACTAAAACTAAAAGCTATGAAAAAAAAGTATAAATCACCTACCCTCTAGCATGTCCATCGTTGCGCACTGTCCAGTTTGGACCGTAGTTCCTCAATTTTCCTGCTGTTCTTCACTGAAATTTAGCAAATGGCGTGCGTCAACAAAGTAGGATGCAGCAAAGTTTGAAGTTTTTTTTTACCCATTAATGAGTATAAAAATACACTTTTTTTGACTGGTACTACATTCTTAAAATGTGTATTTTTTTTACACATTTTAGGATCTCCGAATTTACACATTTTTTGACAGCTGCATATAAATCTAAAAAATGTGTATTTTTTTACTCATTTATGTGTTTACGCTGGTTACCGTGTAGGCATAAGTTGGCAAGGCAGTTTGTTTTGAATCCGCTCCTCTCTTGTACTAGACCCTCTTTAGTGTGCAGTTCTTCATTGACACACTTCTCACATGCAAACAATCAGACCGACTGGTTGAAAACCAATCGTAACGCGTTCTTCGGTGGGGGATAGGATAATGGAGACGCATGATTGTTTATAGTCCGACTAACGGTTTTGTGTGTTAGTGTGTTTGCTCTTCAAGCAGGCTTTGATAAGATTCAAAATGGGAGACTTTCTAGATATGTACTAAGGGGATCTGTTCTAAAATTTCCTTTCATAAATCATAAGCCTCATCCCTCCCAAAACGGAAAAAAAGTACTCACCCGGCATAATTGACACCGTCTTGAGCGCCCGCAGCACCCGAAACGTCCGCAAACCGGCCAGATTGCCCACGTCCAGGGCAATCGTCGCGTAGCCGCTGGTGATGACCACGAAATCCAACCAATTCCACGGATTCCGCAAGTACGTGTACTTGTTCAATATAAAACCCTTAGCTATCATTTTGATTATCATCTCGCATGTGTAAATTGCTAAAAATATATACCTGAAACAGAATTGTGGAGAAGCAGAGAGGGAGAAAAAAGAACATGTATTAAGCTCAAGTGGTGTCATGCTTGGGGGAAAATTAAGTGAAAAGTTGGAGGCAGTAAAATGCGGGGTTTTATTGAATAAAGTTTTCTCATCTGGGCGCTTGGCATATTGTTTTGCCGGTGCGATCGGCGAGGGTGAAAATGCGAATCGCCAGTCACCGCCAGCCCGGTAATAACAATTTCGAGGGATTAGGTATCGAGAACCACTTAATTGTACTTCCATGGCCCTTTGGTCTACTTATTTCGGGGCGACGATAATCCCCCGAATCCGTTCGGGGCTTTAATTGGTGAGCAATTTCATAAGCCACTAAATGATATGGGAGGTCGATTTTATTATCCCAGGAAACGGGTCATTATCTGCTGTGGGTCGTTGGATCTTATGAGCTTATTTCTTGCAGTTGGGTCGGTCGCTCTCAGAAAAAATAAAATCGTAAGTTGTCCACCAAAGCTGTAGTCTATCTATGAGGGGCACAGAGAAACAGCAAAACCAGCTACATATTTTTATGATGAGCCTGACAGAGTACGCCCAAAACAGAAACGGAAATGTGTTCATTATTATTCAGTTCGCTTCCGAATGTTTCGAATAGCCATGGAACGGATTTGACATGCAGTCTCTCTATCTCTCGGGATGACAGGTCATTTTCAATGGATTTATTTTTACCAGAAATGGATCCATTTCATTCCGAAGCGCTGAACGGTTCACTGAATTTCCATTTTCCATCGTGAAATATGTACAACATTGGCGTGGCTCAGGGGGTTCCTAAGGACCAAATAAACTCGATAATCCCCGCTCCCTTGAACTGTTTCCAAGCTACGCCAGTGCTGCTATGACACATGAGAACTGAACCGAATTTAGATGCTTGCTGGTTACTAGCTACGGATGCTGTAATTTCAGCTGTTAGCAGCATATTTTTCAATATTTCAAGTAACTGCTTTCGCTATTCGTACCTCATATGGTCCTCATACGTTTTTGCCTAGCTACTGATTATCATTTAGATTAAATTTAATTCTTGAACTGATTGTAGAACTAAAAGGATACTCACTCTGCTTCCTCGATCGTCTCGGACATGGCTAGGAAGATACAGTTGAACAAAATGGTGGCCATCACGAAGTAGTCGAAGAACTGGTTCGTCGCCAGGTACACGCAGGCACGTCGGGTGGAGCTCCACGGGGTGAACCAGAACAGACTTTTCGTTCCGGTAAAGCGATGGATATAGTTCTTGCGAAATCGCGTCGACACCACGCAGAAGGTCTGTAAAATGAAACCAGAAGATACAAACCATTAGTCAAAGGGTCATTCCGGCGACGATTTGTCTGTATATATCATCCGTCACGTATATGGAAATTCCAACAAACATTCCACTTTTTCAATTACACATTCAAGATGTAGCACACTGTATCAATCTTTCGTTGCGCATTCGAAAGGTGCCCACATGACTCCCGGCACCGATAGTCGAGAGAATCCTTCAACAGAAAGACCAAATTAATCGTTTGTAGCTAGGTGCAGACGATGCTTTTCAATGAACCATTGCGGCTTTTGCACCCTTTAGTCCGCAAAATGGAAATCTGAATTCACAACCATCAGCCAACAACGTGTGATCGCTCTCGGATAGACGATAGACGACGAAGCATACATTGTAAGGTTACGTATCAAACCAGAATAAGACCGCAAATTCCCACTCGTCTGCTTCTGCTAACCTATTATACGGACGGACAACACCACCATTTTCAATCGTTCGGAAGTCCAACCGCAATTTCCCACCTCGGCTGCCTCCAGTTCTGTATGGATTCGGAATGCAAACCACATTAGAAGGAACCATGTTTTTTGGAAATAGCCAAACTGATTTGCCCTTCCTTCCCGGTTCGATGCGTAGGTCGGAATAGTTGACACTTGAACGATTCCAGTTAATAGCGTTTGGGATTCCGGATGTTGTTGGCATGAAGTGGACAGCATTAGTCAAGCTTTGGCAAGAAGATTGGAATTAGTGTACACATTCCCCCACGGATGAAAGTGAGCAGTTTTGGTAATGGGTGGAATTTAAACGTTTTCAGCGCAGGCAACATTCTATAGAACGCCCTATTGTAACTTACAATTGCTGTACTTACATGGCTATAAAATATCTTTGCTAGACATTCAATGTGTTTCACTGTGAATTTAAAGACAAATTATCATTAGGCGTTAAAATTTAAAAAAAGATACATTGGCATTAGAGATGAAAAAAGTGAAAATAGAAATCTGGAGAATCGAGGAAAAAGCTATAAATTAAGGATATTTTATCTCAAGAAGATTTAGTTCATGCAGTTGGTCATTCGTAAATTAAAATTTATGGTAAGCTCAAAGACAAATGTTCATGATTCGATAATCAAGAACTCTCGATTACTTTTTCAAAGTAAACAATGCATTTGATCGTCGATTTGACGTAACTGATAGCTCGCCCACGCATACTAACAGTACTATCATGTAGGGGTAAATTTACCCTATCTGATGGTAGTGTTAGCATGCGTGGGCGAGCTACCAGTTACGTCAAATCGACGATCAAATGCATTGTTTACAAAAGCTGATACGTCCCTTCGAAAAAGTAGTCGAGAACTAATCAAATTTGAGATTCAAGGGTGATCCTTTGGTATGTAAAATTATAACTCATCCCCTTGGTATGGGGTGACACACGAGAGTAATGGCACTCGTTGGCAATCCTCGGGATGCAGCTAAACTCAAACGTGAACTGCAAGGGCGATCCCTTGGTATGATGAAAGTGAGAAACTTAATGCGAACATTTAGGTTTACTCTCACTATACACTAAAAAAGTTAAGGATTGTGTCCGAAGCACGACCGCGTTATTGACGCAGGACTGTGAGATTGATTTTGTTGTTTAATTCAATTGCAAGATTAATTAATTCTAAAATCAATAATGTTTCAATTCAATAATCAATGTTTTGAAATTCAATATAAATCATAACCCACTTAATAATGGAACAAACTCTTTTGCTTATAACAGCGCTCCTAGTGGTCGTTTTCGGAAGCTTTTGACGTATATTTGTTGACAACAAAAAGAACAATAACAGGGTATTTTTTTCAGTTTATAAAACACTCTTGTTTTCGAGACAGTCACCATGCAAGAAGAGCGTTGAAAAAAATCGTGCACAGTCATCTGGAAAATCCATCGTGGTCCACGTTCAAGCTGGCTAAAGTGTTGAATTTTCTTAGAAACACCGTATGTTGCGTGCTCAAAACGTACAAGGAAACCTTGACTACGAATCGAAAGCCTCAAAGTAAACGCCGGACTGGAACTGCCAACCATCAGCTCCATTAAAAAGGTCGTGAGATCCATCCGAAGAAACCCAGGAATGTCCGATCGTGATTTGAGTAAAAAGTATGATGCCACCCGTAGTACAGTGCAGTGAATTCACTACCGCGAATCGATCACTCAAGCAGAATACCTATATAAAGGCAGACTTTGGACAGCTTCTAGGACCAATACTTTACAAGGTGAACGCTCGAGGAGGTGTCCGCGGCAGATTCAAATTTGTTTTTGTAGATAAATTCGCACGCAAATAGGTATATGACCTAGCCCGCAATTTGAAGCTGCAGCCAGAAAACAAAGGTTTTTTTCACTGATAAAATGATGAACTCGGAGGTTTACAAAACCGCATGTCTCCAGAAGTGAATTCTGCCCTTCATCCAGTCACATGATGGTCTGGTGACATTTTGGCCAGATCTTACGAGTTGTCACTACAACCCGGAAGTACAACAATGGTACAATGACAACGGAGTCAGGTTTGTTCCGAAAACCCTCATCAAAACGGCAGCTCAAATGAAATGGTGGGATGAAATCGCCAAAACAGTGGACGAGACCGTTGTGCGCCGCTTGATCGGTCATATTAAGGGAAAAGTTCGAGAATTCCTTCGAAATCGCGACGAATAATTCGTTTCGTATTTTTCTTCTTCTTAAAATATAAAGAATATTATGCACTAGAGAAGGTCCAGTAAAAGAGAGGAGCTGATTCAAAATAAACTGCCTAGGCAACCAATGCTTAGGTGATTTCTAGCAACAATGCAATCAAGATAGGCACTGCTCGATTGGCTCTGACAGTTCGTTTGGCTCAAAACTTGCCAGTCCGCTCCTCTCTTATATTAGACACTCTCATGTATGCACTTGAGAGAAAACCGTTTTCAAATCCGTTAAATCAAATCCGAAATAGACCCAAATGATGTTACTTCCATTACTAAGGCTGTGAACCATTTGCCGAGTTAAATTTAACTCGTGGTTAAAAGTGACATTTCGAAAATTATTTTCTACGTTCGAAAATCTCTGTGCTATCGATTGACCGGTTTTTGAGAAGAACTTAGCCAAAGTTGTCAAAATTTAACTTCTTGTCTGTCAGAAGTAACCACGCTCGGATAGCAGGGTTAATCGATAACTTTCCATCTGTCAAATTTTAACCAAAAGTTAAAATAATCCACCAAATGGTTCAGAGCCTAAGTGTGCCATGTTTTATTCAGTTGAAGCATATAGAGATAACTAGAAGAGAGCCTAGAAGCACAAACGAAGTGACAGACGACTTATGGCGAAGAAATCCATTAAAATAATGTGGTTCACTGTAATAGAATTTTCTTGGAAGCTTGTGCCATCATCCACCAGATGGGTTAGTTTTTTTGTTTTGATTTGAACAAAGTTGATTTTGTGTACAATGATTCTTTGACAGTGTGCAAAGAGTGCGTATCATTTTGTCATTTTTTTATGCATTTCAGTTTTGAGTAGAGTGAAAGAGATAGAACCAAAACCTTCTAGTAAATTCGGTGAAAATGCTAGTTCAATCTAGTAGTAGTGTTGCCATGTGGTACAATCCAGTAGTAGTGGTGTTGCCATGTGGTACACTGAAAAATTGCAATAGCAGGTTAGTCACCAAAGTTTTCGAGCCGCTCCGTCTGTCACTTCGTTTGTGCTAGAAGTACAAACGAAGTGACAGACGACTAACTGGCGAAGAAATTAATTAAAATAATGTGGTTCGCTGTAATAGAATTTTCTTAGAAGCTTGTGCCATCATCCACCAGATGGGATAGTATTTTTGTTTTGGTTTTGCACAAAGTTGATTTTGTGTACAATGATTCTTTGAAAGTGTGCAATGAGTGTATCATTTTGTCATTTTTTTATGCATTTCAGTTTTGAGTAGAGTGAAAGAGATAGAACCAAAACATTCTAGTACATTTGGTGAAAATGCTAGTTCAATCCAAAAGTAGTGTTGCCATGTGGTACAATCCGGTAGTAGTGGTGTTGCCATGTGGTACACTGAAAAATTGCAATAGCAGGTTAGTCACCAAAGTTTTCGAGCCGCTCCGTCTGTCACTTCGTTTGTGCTAGAAGGGTCCCAAAGAAATGTGCTCAAATTTTTAGTTCAGCTCTGGTACTATCTTGGGTCCCAAGCTAATCGATGCACCCCTCGAAACATAGGAAAATCCACGAACCCCTCATTTTATCTGTCAAACTTTCATAGCGAATCAAAACAAACATAGTGTAGTACTAGAATTTCGACTAGAATGGGGTACGCTTAAGGCCCAAGCGCAATAACAGCGGAAGCGGAAAAGCCCGATCCTAGTAAGCCTGCTTGTCGGACTGAAAACTAGTTAGAATCAAATCGACTTCGGTTAGGCATCTTGATGCCATTTGTGACAACTGTCAAACTTTCCGTTTCCGTTCCGCTTCCGCCCATATTGCGCTTGGGCCTTTATAGATGTACTTGGGACCAATAGTCTAGTCAAGTAGTGTGTCAATTTAAAATCGTTAGTTTCCACCGGTTGGTTGAAGTTTCAATTATCAAAATTAAAAATTAGATTCCAAACATGTACACTCAACTTTCAGTAATAATATTTATTTTACATAAAGTATGACTATAATTTGCTGATTGAAATATATTCTATATAACAAACCGGTTTAAAATCTACCGCCAAGGGCCCATGCATTAATTATGTCACGCTTAATCGAGCAAAAAATTACCCCCGCCCCCCCCCTATCATGAAGTTTTTCCTATACCTAATGCATTGCTTGTCACAAAATCTTAGAAACCCCCCCCCCCCCCTTAGAGCGTGATATAATATATGCATCAACCACAAGCTATGAGCTAAGAGTGACCTCGAGGTGGGCGAACCCTAATAATATTGTTATGATTATTTTGCTCAACGACGTGTTCGGGGTATCATCCAAACCATTTGTGGAATAGTTCTATTATTTGGGTTATCGTTCGATTATGGTATTTTTTTATTAGGGGAAGTAATCCGTCACACTTTTCATTTTACGGATTTAAATAAAATTTGGTTCATAATTACGGTAGATTGTGGATAATTGGGATAAATTCGATTAGTAATGAATAGTACCACGCACCTTTTTTTTTTTTTTTTTTTCTTTTTTATTATAGTCACTTTAACACTCTTGGGTCATTCGTGACTTGTCCGGGGGTGAGATTTGAACTCGTGACTTTGGCGTGAGAGGTATGGATGTTAACCACTACGCCGGGGTCGCCCCCACCACGCACCTGCTGATTTTATCCAATTTCATCGATAACCTTGGATATGTAATAATTATCGAGCATCTTGCTTATATTATTTTTAGTGTGTATCATGTTAACTGTCACTTTCTTGAGCAGCTGTTTTGTGATAGGCGAGGTGGGAATTTTTATTTTAAAAATGTTATGGAAATAAATACTGAACTATTTTGGAAAGAGGTCAGCAAAATTACGGAGCCAATAGGCCTTTTTAATGCACTATCAACGTAGAGGCACCACGCGAGTTCGAGAGGAAACGTCAACCAAACCGTTTGTGTACATCAGAAGAAGGATTTTTCTCACCGCAAATTAAAGCATTGTTCATTGGACATTTTGCCAATTTCCATCAGTTTTTGTCTTATTTTACGATTTTCCACACATAACACATTGAATATTTTTCAATATAAAACATCGTGACGTAAACACTTTCGCCATCTGTTGAGTGTACTGTGTGCTTTCTGAGCACAGCGATATTTTTTTCAAACCCATACACTTTCATCTCGATTTTTAAATCAATATTTAAAGCAAAATAATAACTTCATTATTTGACACTAAACTGACAAACTGACAGCTCGCTCACATACAAAGTGAAACCGAGGGGCGCTAATAAGGTGATTTTTGCGAATGTAATCGTTCTTATTTAAAATAGTTCCAGTGTACCAAAATTGATGAAATTTTGGGTTTGGGTTCCATTTTTAATGCAGATTAAGAATATGCATTTACCTCAGTACCCTTAAAGAAACCAATTGATGTAATTAAAAGTGTTGAGAACTAGATTGAGAATGTAATTAATGTACTTTAATTACAAAATGTCGACTGTAATTGGGTTGTTTAGGGGTATTTCGGTAAACACATATTCGTTATCTGCATTAAAAATGGAACCGAAATCCAAAATTTCGTCAATTTTGGTACACTGGAACTATTTCAAATAAGTACGATTACATTAGCAGAAATCACAATATTAGCGCCTCTCGGCGGGACTTTGATCTTGATTTAAAAATCGAGATGAATATCTACGGGATCGATAAAAATATCGATATGCTCAGAAAACGAAGCTGATGTATTAAAATTGGTATATTTTACGAAGTTAAACAACCCATTTAATGGAGTTAAAAAGAAGTTAATGTTCTACATTGTGTAATTAATGTAATTATAGCAGTACACAGCAAAAAAAAAAGTTGTTGAATATTACATCGAAACTGCTGCAACCAGGTCAATCCATCGATTGTGTAATATCACATTGTACGATGTACATCGATTTTGCGAACAAAATTACATCCATTGATGTAATATTGTATCTGCTTTTTGCTATTACATCATTATTTCATACATCAGCTTGAAATACGTTGATCGATATTACATGTTTTTGTTGTGTAGTTAATGGAATTAATTTAATTACAGCCGTTGCCTATGTTGGAGTTAAAGATTATTGCGTGCCCCTATGATCTATCAGAAATCGATAGCACGCAGTGCAGAACAAGATGCCGAAGAATCATGTATTCAACCAAACGCCGCCACCGACCACGTGTTCGATTTCCTCTCTTTCAAATAACAACTCATACAGTTTCCGCCAGAGGCGCCACGGTGCTTGCGTTTCTCGTGCGCATGTCAGCCGAGCATGCGTTTTTTGACTTTGACGGCTGATGCTGAACGTCACGCCGCAGCGGTGGAAAAGAAAATGTAAAAAAGCAGGCGAGCCAACCTTACAAGCTCGAGCCTAGAAAACTTCCTCTTTCATTCAACGTGTGTCCAGTAGTGAAGACGTTCTTTTCGTCCCTTTACTACCCAACCCAAAATGAGAGCTAAGGTGAGACTTGTGTAAAATGGAAGAAAATTAGTTGGAAAATAGTTGAAGACTGTGAGAATCGGTGATTTTAGTGAATATCAAGAGTGGTTCGCAGAATTAATACGAGGATTTTCTTGTTTTACGAGAATATCTGTTATTTTTGCACGTGTTGAAGTTGTCGGCGTCTGCAACATGTTTCTGCTTCAATTTCAATAGTTCTAATGGAACACCAAGCGATAACTATTTGCATCCGATTACTCTTGATTGTTTTGTACTTGAAAACAATATCTTCGTCTGCTTTTCAAAGAATTCAAGTGCAATGCGGAATTTCTAACTTAACCTCAACAATATCGATTTTCTTGATTCTCCAACCGGTTTCGGCTTGAACACTAGCGTGGCATTTGCAACTTCTAATAATGATAATTTACAAATAAATCGACTAATGACCGTTTATTCTATCTTTTCAGTGGCGTAAGAAGCGTATGCGAAGGCTGAAGCGAAAGCGCAGGAAGATGCGTGCGAGGTCCAAGTAGATTACTCGGGTAAGTTTTCCACTATTCCAGCCTCTCAAACGCTGGTTCCTAATGGCTTCTTTTTTTCGATTTTCTATCTCGTCCCCTCAACAGATTTCGAGCGTCGTCTATCCCTCTGAATTAAGGATAAGGACCCATACATGAATACAAAAGCACCCATCGTCATCCCTTGGTTGATGGCGCGTGGAATCGACTGCTGCCGGAGGAATTGGCTTCCTCTTCCGATGGCGGTACCAGTACAGCCGGTTCCCATCGTGCGCATTTATATAGTGGTGAAGTGTATGAGTGAAAATAAATGCACGTCACCCCCCCGGATGTTATCGGTGATGCGACTGATGCTGATGGGCGATGGTGGGAAAAAAAATTTAGAAAACGTGTGTAAATGATCCCGTTGATGACACAATCCCTCTGGAAGTGCAAGTGGTTCGCACATGCCGGTTACGGTTCGTTGATGGCTATTTTGCTGGTTCTGCTGTATGGAATTTGGTTCACTTTGTTTCCAGGATCCGGCATGGATGTTCGGATGTGTGGCTATTCGGTTTGCTTGCCTTGAGAATCTCACTGAGTATTTGTAGAGTTGGCCAGTGAAGTGAATCGAGTAAGGTGTGATAGGTGATTATGCTCCTTCGATGGTGAACATATTCAGTTCATTGACTCCACGGTCCTTGTTCTAGTTCTGAGAAAATGTATCTGCTGGGTAGCAATTTTGTTGTTTAGTTTCGAAAAACATACCGGTTTTTATACATCGTCTAAAAGGGTACATTCATCTCGATTTTAAAATCAAGATTTAAATTTTCAATTTTCGCCGCTAAATCTTATTAGTTGGCAGTCCGCTCCCATTTACAGTTCCAGTGAGGCTTTATATGCGGCGTTAGTGATTTATGTTAACGTAATCGCACTTATTTAAAATAGTTCACCAAAATTGATGAAATTTTATATTTCGGTTCCATTTTTAATGCAGATTACTAATATGTATTCACATCAATAACGTTAAACAACCCAATTTTTAATTGTATCTAGTCTATGATAACCTGCTGGTTGTATCTTTTATCAGGTCAAGTAAAATACAAGTGTTATAGACGCAGGGGTTGACGGGGCAAGATGGCCACCGTAACATAATTTGTATTTGTAATTAATACATTAAAACATTGCATATCCTAGTTTGTTCATGTCTCTTCCTAAGATGAAGAGCAGGCAATAGGGGGACTGTTGTGAACCTATTTTCGGTCAAACGTGAACTAGCACTTGATTTGTCGGGCGAACGTATAGAAACGCAAGAATTTTTATAACAGGTAATCTATTTTCTTGTATTTTGACAGTCGACTGCTTCGCCCATAACGAATTAAAAAAAAGCCTATGTCGAAATCTCATTCATTTTTGCGTCAATGACAAAGATTCATCTGGTAACAAAAAGTGTAATTTCGAACATTCTGTGTCACATTGTTATCAAAGTAGTTCAGGACGTAGATGCTTGTTCACATTAACGGCTCAATGTAATTGTGTTGTTCAAGTTATCTAATTTCGTTACAAATTTAGTTAATATAAAAATCTACACATGTTCGTCACTGACAGCATTGTCATTGACAATTGACATGGTTTGCCTGGACTGCGTCTGTTAGCTCAAATGAGTGACCAAAACAGAATTATCAGAGAAGAATTAAAATCGTCACAGGCAAAAAAAGGCCAATAGTCTCCTCTTCCTCTTAGGTCTGTTCTAGCACCTATCCTTGATACGGAGCATTGATACAATTTAATGTATGTATTAGGTCGATGCGATGCTGACGCGGAATGCGAAGCGTCAATTCGAATGTTAAGAATAATAAAAAAAAAAAAATTTACGAGCTTGACGCAACACTCGGCTTTCTGCGTCAGCATGGCAGCCGTCTTAAACTCAGGGCTGATAGCGGGTCACTTTTTAGTGACTTTGTCACTTTTTTGAAGGTGGTCACTAAAAAGTCCCTATTTTCGACAAAAAGTCACTATTTTCGCCATTCCCGCTTGCATTGCAATGTAAAATTTGTTAAAAAATAAATAAAAATTGTAACAGTGCTACAATATACTTAGTTCTTAGTTGGAAGTTCATTAAACTAACTTACGAAAAAGTACGCAGACGAAATAAAGACGATGCATCATCAAAGCACACTTTTATTTGAGATTTCGCACCTTTTAGGAGTCCAGATTCAACTGCAAAATTAAATAATCAGTGTGACCGGAAAATCGGGATAACTGGAAAATGCCGGAAATTCGATGTCACCGGGATAAACTCGTGAACGTCGATGCCAAATAGAAAAAAGGTGCTTCTTCCTCTCTTTAAAAAATTTCAAGACCCTTGGATACAGTTACTTTAAAGAACTATTAAAAGAACTTTTTTCTAAAGCAGTTTTGAACAGATTTTAGAATAGATTCTAGAGATATGTAATACCATGGTACTTCGGACAGTAATTTTTCAGGTGAAAATTTCATAGTTGTGAGTTGAATACCAAGGAAAGGAGCAAAATTCAACGGTAATTCCAACATATATTCAATTAGAATTTTAAGAATACTTCTAACGGATTTCTTAGAAAATCCTTAGAAAATTCTGAGCTAAATTTCAAGTAGATTTCGAAGAGTATTCTAAGGATATTCCGGTGTTATTTTTTTTTCAGATAATTCAAAGGAGAATCCCAGCAGCATTGTCATTGCCCACATCTTACTGGACCTTATTAATGAATCATTACAAACTGGACATGTGCCACAAATTTGGAAGGAATCCTTAGTGGTCCCTATTCAAAAAGTTGCTCGAACGATTAAAGCCGAAGAGTTTCGTCCCATCAACATGTTGCACACATTAGAGAAAATTTTAGAACTTGTTAAAGGCCAGCTGTTGGAGTATTTAAAAAGTAATAGTTTGTTGATACCAGAACAATCGGGATATTATTCGGATATATTCCCTCCCCTTGGCTAGTTTTTGCACCTTGCTGTTGGTGGGCGGGCTTAATTTCATGCTTTATAGCGGAGTGTTGGAGACGGTAGGTTTATGGTCGGCGTTGCTGGCTCATGCCACGATAGAATGGCACCATGATCACGCAATGGGGATTACTAAGCTTCCCCTCTCTGATAAACCACTGCATGAGAGAACCAAAGATCTAGTCTAGCGGAGTGTTGGAGACGGTAGGTTTATGGTCGGCGTTGCTGGCTCATGCCGCGATAGAATGGCGACATGGGCAGGCGATGGGGATTACTAAGCTTCCCCTCTCTGATAAACCGCTGCATGAGAGAACCAAAGATCTAGTCTAGCAGTGATAGTATCACACTTGTTACTCCTTTTATTGAGAGCCGCGTCGTAGTACGCTTACGTATAGGCACTGACGTTGGGTGTGATACTGGCGGGTTTTGCCGCAAATCACTCTTATTTTATTTATTTTTACGCAGATAGATTTATTTGGGTTTGCAAGGGAATTATACTATTGAAATATTTCAGAAAGTGCCCAACAGTGCTCCTTCTATTTGCGTGACAAGCTTTCATTGTTGTTTTCATTGAAGTATTACTCAGAAAACAATGTTAAACATCATTTTTGTACATGGTATTGTAACTAATCTTATATGTGCTTCATTTTGATTTGGGATAAGTGTTTGAACTATGGCTCGGGATTTCCACTGCGGTGTGCTTCTATTGTGACATACCCATATGTATTTTTGTGGGGCCACATAGTGGAAACGTGAGAGCGTAGTTGGAACATTTACCCTATACAATATACAATTTAAAATTAGCTTGGAAACTAACTTCAAAGTGAAGCATTTTAGTCACTTGAAGGTGTCATCTGGGACGAACAAAGATATAAGATAAGATATGTAAAAGCCAGAAGTACTTGAAACACGTTAAATTGTAATTTAAAAGCATGGGTTATGTAGGTAGATTAGAGATTTCAGTTATTTATTAAATAAACTTCAATTATAGAATTCAGAAAGTTAATTAACATAAGAGATAGGACGCGGGGGTCCGCTTAGGGAGGCGAGTAGCCTATGAAGTTGTATAATAAATCTTCCTATTTAGTGTATTTGTTAATTACAGACAATATCAATAGCGAAAGTCATATCTTCAACCAGGCGCTTACGAACAAGTGAAGTTTTAGGAAAGATGTGTTAAATATGTTGATAGGTTTGAAAAAAGAATTAGGATGGTTGTGCTTTAGTTTTCGGTAAGGTATGATGTGTCAACAAAGCCCTTTTGAGCAAATTTTCAAACATCAAATTGATTGAGTGATTTATTGAAAGACATTGCGTTGCGAAAATTGACAAGTCATACATCTAACATAGTAGGAGTAGCAGTGTCGCATAATCTTATCACAATTGCTGCAAATAGTGCTTGAGGGGCCAGCAGGGCTGAATACGGATCAAAACTAACATAACTACTAACACTAAAATGATCCCGGAACTAACACTTATCCATTGCACTTTTAGCTATTTATTAGTTTTATTTTTCTACTAAGTCATCTATGCTTCTTTCTATTGTTTGGATCAAGTACAACTAATACTAATCTACCTTTATGTATGTTTTACTCCCTTTTAACCCATTATCTTTATGAATGGCGAATCATATGACGTGAGACACGTACAAGCTGGAACTCAAAGAATTACTTCGAACAGGATGTCAAACAAATTCAGGACCAATCCAAATGAGACCAGAAACCAACAAAGCATCGGGGAGTTATATATTCTGGGAGAGGTATTTGATAAATAATCAAAAAGTGGTAAGTTAAAATCAGAGCCAAGGATCATGAGAGGTAATTGTCAATAATTCATTAATTAGTAGAAATCTCGATAACTTTTTCAAGGGAGCGTATCGGCTTTTGTAGGCGGTGCGTTTGGTCGTCGATTTGGCTTAACTGGCACTATCATCAGATAGGGGAAATTTTCCTCTACCTGCTGGTGGCGTTGATAAGCGTGTGCGAGCTGCCGGTTGCGCCGGATCGACGATCGGATGCATTGTTTGCAGGAGCTGGTGCTTCCCTTTGAAAAAGTAATCGAGAAATAACCATATTATCCTGTAATTGATATTACTATTTTTATATATCAATGAAATTAGTCATGACAGAGTAACAGATGGGGAAGGACAATAGACACAAGTTGACACAATAAACAAGACAAGTGGGGGTTAATACATAAGACAAAA